CAGGAAAACACGATTTCAGATTTCACAATTTTCCCCACACGGCACGTCTCGGTCATCCGAGTCTTGTGCGAGTGCCCGGATCCTATGGGATGAGGAAGGTCGGGATGGGTCGTGTCACTGCAAGAGTTGACAATTGAGCCTAATGGATTATCGCCTATATTCATTGCTGCTATATACGGCAATAAAAAGGCTGCAGAAGCATTTGTAGGTCGGAACAATGCTTTGCCCAACATTCGCCACAGCAGAGGTTTTCTCCCAATTCAAATATCAGCTTCATCTGGTCAGGAGGACATAACTCAGTACCTACTCAATGTGACAACTACTGTGAAACCCCGTTTTTAATCCTAATACATATTACATATTCTGTGTGATTTTATTTTTATGGAAGGGGATTTCTGTTAGTTTTTAAAAGTTTTATTGGGAATGAAATTGCAAGATAAGGAAGCTGTTGGGTTTGCATGTAACAAGGGGCAAAATCTGGAGGTTTATTTGAAAGAAATGCTGATGTGGTAGGGGTTTAGCGGGATTACCTGTAATCTAGGGGCAGAAGCATAAATTTAGAAAGACTAAAAATATAAAATATGAAGAAGAAGAAAGATGAGAGAAAAAACCCGAGAGAAAGAAAAGAAAAAGGAGAAGAGAAGAAAGAGTGGGTTGGCCGAGAGGTTGAGCGACAGAGCAATGGAGGAAATGAAACGAAATAGAATTGGGGAGAAGAAAGAAAAATAGCAGATCGGCCATAACCCAGTTTCTAATAGTCCATGCATGTAGATTGGGAGGTAGAGATTCTAAATTTCTTCTTCAATCCAAGAGAAATTAACCCATTATTGTTCTGATGCTAGGAACGAAGGAGAAGAATGGAGGAGAGTGCTTGAGCCTTCAATTTTTAGTTCGGTTGAGCTGAATAGGTGAGTGGACCAGCCAAAACCTCTTTTAAAAACTCAATTCCTTTTGTTCATGTAAAGTGTTGATTTCTATTATAGTGTTTGATCCAAATTTTGGTGTGATATCTTGTTAAATCTGTCTTGCATGTGTCGGCTGAGCTGACTTTAAAGTGCTGCATGTCCTTTCGATTCTAGCACCATGTCTTGATGAAATCTGGAATTTTTGTAAGTGGAAAATGATTGAATCCTTTTCTAAAGTTTGCATTTTTCAAGTTGCATGTAACTTGATGCTTTTGTTTGTACCATAGAGATGATTTTTGGATGTTGTTGATTTGAGAGTAGTATGGAGAAAGGTTTAAAATGGGCAGAATTAGAAATGCTAACTTGGCTGCATGTGTGCATTTTATGCATATACATAATGTTTGCGAATAGAAAAGAATTATGGGAAGTTGTATGTTGGATATGGTGGCTGACTATTGTGGTTAACTGAAATTGGAGATTTAATGCAACAATTTTATACGGTAAGCATAATGTGATCCTAAAGAACCAAGAGTTATTTATGTTTTTGGTTTAAAAAGTTATGCTGTGAAATTCTGACAGTCCGAACTTCCAAAATTTTATAATGTTTCGGGTTTGCAAATGAAGCTAAATTTCAAGATATTTTGTTTTAGACTTATAGAGATTGGGTGAAATTGATTTCACCCCAAAATTCGAAGTATTGGATTTTTTAAATTTTTAATTCTGCATGAATTCTGGAATTTCATGTTTTCTGTAGAGCATGCATTTTTCAGAACTGAAATAATCACTTATACTTACCAAATTGGTGATTTTAAATTCTGGTGAATCCTATATGTGCCTAGTTTAATTCTGGAGAGTTTCATGAGTTTAGATTAAGGCTGAATTGTTATGAATTTAACAAGTCAGTAACCTCAATTCTGAAACAGTTGGCAGATTTAAATAGTTGAAGAAAAATTGTGTTTTAAATAGTTATTGACTCGAAATGACTTGAAAATTTACTGGATCAACATATTTTTGTCGAATGCCCCTTGAAATTATAGCTTGTTTGGTGAGTGGATTAAACCATTCTTCTCCAAATCCTTAAATCCTGCTTGCTGTTAACTTGTGATTTAATTTTAAATGTTTTGATGAAGTTGGTATATGAATTTATAGTGTTCTGCTAATGAATAAATGTTGCTGTTGAGAGTAGAGAATTGGTTGATTGTATACGGGTTGAGGTTCCTATGTTTGTAAATGGTTTCTTGGTAAAAAGAAAAGAGAGGGTTCATTCGTCAGTTTTGAAAGTAAGTTTAAAACTTGCATTCTACCCCCATTTTGCTGGAATTTCATACGTTTTGGCATGATTGCTTTTATTGAAATGTGGTTGTGTCGGACATATGCTATGGTAATGGTATGTTGAAAGTAATTTTTAATCTGGGTTAAACTGTCGTTTTAAAACATGTTTGGAAATTTTTAGTTTCACCCCTGGTGTGATTTTTGAATATTTTGTCATATAGCATGATTTATAACACATATGTGGTATGTTCTGACTTATATATGTTACTTGAGTTATGCAGAGATTGTTGAAATATGCTCTTGACTTACATGTTACTGAGATTATGCATGAGATTGTTATGGTGCTAAAACACCCTACAAAGTACCCATCCCCCAGAGATACAGATTTTTGGCTCGCCCGCGCATGATAGATCTTGCCGGTATGACAATTTTATTGGCCTTCCTGGGCTTGATGTGCCGCCAGGTATGACAGATTTTATTGCTCTGCCGGGCGTTGAGTGGTCCGCCAGGTATGACAGATTTTATTGGCTCTGCCTGGGCGTTGAGGTGTCCGCCAGGTATGACAGTTCATTGGCTCTCTGCTGGCGTTGAGTGGTCCGCCAGTATGACAGATTTTATTGGCTCTGCCGCGTTGAGTGGTCCGCCAGGTATGACAGATTTTATTGCTCTGCCTGGGCGTTGAGTGGTCCGCCAGGTATGACAGATTTTATTGGCTCTGCCTGGGCGTTGAGTGGTCCGCCAGGTATGACAGTTTCAGTAGCTCTGCCCGCGCGATGATAGATCTTGCAGGTATGACAGTACATCCCTTGCTTTGCTTGCTGCGGAAGCCCACCAGGTAAGACAGATTTCCCCGAGGGTACTAGTTGCGTGAGATTTTTCTGTATTAACATCATAATCAGTTTAAATGTTCAAAATCACATTCAGTTTTTAGTATCAGCTATGAGTGATGGTCTCAATATGGGTTTCCAGAATATTTATTAAGAGAGCTTTGAGTATTAGCAACAGTTTCGAAATAAGATATCAACTTATATTTCAGTATCAGTAAAAGCTACAAGTACCAATTTAAAGTTCAGTCATCAGCATAAAGTTTACAGTATTCCCAAAATCAGTTATCAGTGCATAGTTTCAGAAAAATCAGTTTTCAATTTATATATCATCACAGCAGTTATAAATTTAGTTCCAGATTTTGTTTTGTGAACCATAGTGTTCATTGAATGATGGTTTGGATGTTTGCAGCATGATTAGTAGAGTTATTATTTTCATGATCATATGCATTCTTGAGGGATGACATAGATGGTTGCAGCATCCTTGCGGAAATATTGTTCCCAGAAGCATAAGCACTTATAGTTATGTTTTAAGTTTCCAGAAAAAATTTTAGCATTCAATGATGGCTATATTCAGAATTTGTTTCGCTTGAATGATGAGATTACATACTTAGAACAATTTTAGAAAACGGTTATAACATGCATACAGGAATGATTAGTACTTCCATAACACGTTCTATATCATGTTGTTTCTGGATTTCATAGAACTATTGCATGCCATGACTATTGTTGAAGAATGTTTTCAAACTCTCCCCAATCCCCCACTCACTGAGTATTTCAGCTCACCCCTTTTAGACCTTTTTCCCCAGGTTCCAGGAAGAGTCGTGCTGAGGAGTGATTCCTTTCGAGGTTGGGCCCTTACGTCATCGACTCATCATGTGTGTAAAATATCATGCTTGTTATCGCTCCCGAATTATGTTTTATCCTTATGTTTATCTCCTGTGTTGATTATAAAAGATATGAATATCTGATACCATCCGTTTTTGGATTTTATGAACGTACAAGTTAGCTTTCAGATTTTCAAATGTATACATATATATATCTTATGTGTTTATGCTTTCAAAACGAATCCAAGCGAATGTTTTTATGAAAAACGTATTTAGAATACAGGTTTTTAGATTCCCACACGGCACGTCTCGGCCGCCCGAGTCTCATAGGTGCACCCGGAGCTTATGGGGTAAGGAGGGTTGAGGCGGGTCGTGTCAACTACTCCCTTGGATGGTGAGACGGGCGTTGCACTGGTTAAATCTTTTATTCGTTCTGGTCTCTATTGTAAGTGTCATTGCCATAAATATTCCATATTAGTTAGATAACATTTAATTGTCAACGTAAACTCTGAAAGCATTTGCAATAATTATGCTACCTCAACTCCATTTACAGGTTCAGCTTTTGATTTATTGAAGATATATCCAAACTTAATAACTGAAAATGAGGACAGAGGAAGTATACTAGAAGAGCTAGCTTACAAGCCACTGGCATTTAAAAGTGGGAGTCGGTTTGGATATTGGCGATGTTTAATCTATCATTGTATATATGCTACTCTCTAGCTACTTTCTATATAGAATCTGTCACTAGACAGTATGTCAAAATTAACAGCGCTTGCATGTTTTTGCAGGGATTCCTGTGCAGGAAGAACATATTCGTTATCCTAAAACTGTGCTGGGAGACACAGAGAGTCAAATTGAGACTTTAAAGAAGTTCAAAAAATTCACTTATTTTGGATATATTAGTCATCAAATCTCTACTATATCTGGTTTGTGGATCACCTCCCATGTCTAAATTTATTTAAGGATCCATCTTTTAAATTCTATTACTTATAATACTAATTAAAAGATGCTATTTGTTTTATATCATAGCTGCCTTGTGCCAAAAGTTTCACATTTTGCTGTGGAATACCCTCATTAATCTAGGTATTCAACTATTTCTAATTAGAATGAGTACTTTAAAGACATATTTCTTCTGCTGACTGGAGTTGAATGACAGTTCTAGGCATCAAATACATAAGTGATATAAATTTAATGCACATTCAAACCCTTGAAATAGTTAGAATGATGTGCCATGAGGGAGTTATATGGAGTAATGCTGAAGCCTCGAAGCCATTGGCTACTTCAATTTTAACAGCCACAAGATTCGGGATTTGCGAGATGGTACGTGAAATTTTCAATGCCCATTTCTATTCTTATACTTTTTGTGAAGATGAACAACATAATATATTATTCCATCTCGCAATTTTACATCCCCAAGACAAAGTTTTTAGTCTCATAAATGAAATGGACTTATTTATATAGGAGTGGAAAGCAGCAATCGAGAATGAAAAAACTGACAACATATTGCATTTAACTGGAAGGTTGGTACCTTCAAGTCGAGTCTCTGGTGCAGCACTACACATGCAGAGAGAGTTACAATGGCTTAAGGTGATATATTTTTTGTGTATAGCTAGCATCTAACCATGCAATATAATAAAAGTTTGATAATACTTTTTTTGAATAATTATCTTTAATATAGAATGTCAAAACGACTATTTTCTTGGAATTTCTTGATCACTATAGCCCTTTTTTGATCTTGTATCAGAAGGTTGTCAACCACAAAAATGTTCTACTTTCATTTTCTACAGAAATAAATAATTACATGTAGCTTCTATAGGCTTATAAATTTGTAAATTTGTCTTCAAATAAACAGAAGTTTCAGAAAAGATTGCAGGTCTGTAGGGTTTTATAAGAAATTTAAAGTTTTTCTTGTTTTTTTGAATAATTAATATGTTATTTCATGTTCAGGCTGTGGAAAGTTATGTCCGTTCATCCTTTCAAGATCAAAAAAATTCATTCAATAAAACTCCTAGAGAAGTGTTTACGGAAGAACACAAGGATTTAGTTAAAGAAGGTGAAAAATGGATGAAGGGTACTGATTCATCATGCACTCTTGTAGCAGCACTAATAACCACAGTAGTGTTTGCAACAGCTTTTCCTGTACCAGGGGGCAACAATAATGACGGCATACCCAATTTCATGAACGAAATACCTTTCATAGTCTTTGCTATACCAGATGCCCTTGCATTCATTTCTTCTACCGCTTCAGTGCTAATGTTCTTGGGAATCCTCACTTGACGTTACTCAGAAGAGGATTTTTTGGAGTCGTTGCCAAAGAAGTTAATGGTTGGCCTTATGACCTTGTTCTTTTCCATTACAAGCATGATGGTAGCGTTTGGTGCAACATATTACATCGTTCTTTCAAACCCATGGAAATTGGTTATCATTCCAATTGCCTCACTTGGTTGTCTTCCAGTCCTGTTATTTGCATGGATGCAGTTTCCTCTCTTGGTCGATATATTTATATCCACTTATAGGCCTACTATTCGCTTTAACCGCAATTAAGCAACTGAGGATGTATGACCATGTAATTATATCTTCAGGAGCTAAACAAGGTCTTTCTTGTTTAACTATATAGTCATTATCAGTTTCAATTTCTTCTTATATTTATTGTAAATAACACATTAATTTGATAGATATTATAAACTTGATAGAAACGTTGAACTGAAAGCAGAACAAAACCAGAGCACCACATTACAACCAAACAGAGCAGCCTAGTCCTTAAGCATGAATTTTAACTTTAGCGGTTTAAAATTGTACCTCATCTGTGCATGACGCAGTATTGGTTTCAAATTTCATTCATTTTAAGCACTTACTTGACTTTATCTTTAAAAATTAATATAAACAAAAACCAAAAATCGTTGGAAAATGTTCTTTTAGCTCAAGACTAACTAGGAGGAATTGAGAAGAAAAGTGTTTTTGAAGACAAGATTACTATTGCTTCTCAAATTTGACTTATACAAAATGGTTGGGTGTCACCCCTTTTTAAAGTGCTCAAGGGCCTAGTTAGTGAATTCGTTCGCATATCATTTGCAAATTTCCGTATGTTATCAACACATCCATATTATTCACGAACTATATATCTCAGACATTTTATTCACTAATTATTCCCGTGTCAAAATTGTGCCCAACTTTTACAAACGTATTTTTCACCATTTGCTATATCATATCCGTAAAATTCTCATACTTTTTTTTTTATCATACCTGTATTTACCTTTGCATTTGAAATGTTATATTGATTTTAACTATGTGGTCCATGAAAAGTGTTAAAACCAAAATTGATATTGTTATATTTTTTAAAACGTGTTATTAACAATATGCCGTATTAAACCCGTATTGTATTTTTTCTGTACTGAATTTTATGACTGATTTTTTACAAACTTATTTTTTACTATTTGTCATATCATACCTATAAAATTTATGTATCTTTTTTTTTGCCGTGTATTACTAAGGGGGCGTTTGTCTAAGCTTATGAAAATTAGCTTATAAGCAACAATTGCTTATAAGCCAAAATTACCTTATAAGCATTTGAAATTTTAAGCAATTACGTGTTTGGTTAAAGTACTTATAAGTGGCTGATAAGTAATTGACGTGTTTGGCAAAATTTAGTTTATAAATACATTTTATTATAAAATTACTAAAAAAGATACTACATTAAACAATAGCATACTATGGAATTTTAAAATTAAACAAGGGTAATGTGGTAATATACTTGGTCAAACTAGCTTATAAGCAAAGTGCTTATAAGCCAAAAAAAAAAGTACCTTCCTCCCAACTTATTTTTTTTTAGCTTATAAACTCAACTTATAAGCTCAAAAAAATTATAAACAAACATGTCAGCTTAATTTTAGAGCTTATAAGCAAGTTTAACCAGCTTATAAGCTTAGACAAACACCCCCTAACTAGACTCAAGGGAGTCTTCTAACCTCCAAGTCCCATTTACCACATGTCCTAATAAATATTGTCTACCATATTCTATAATTAATAACTGTCTCACAACTTTCTAATAAATGAGATATTTTTACAAGATATTTCTAGTCACAAGGCCTATTATTTAGGCTAAATACATGGGTCAAATATGGGCTTTACATTGGGCTTAGAAAGAATATTAAGCTAACAATTTATATGGGTCGAAGTGATAAACCCAAATAGTCTTGGCCGAAATAAGTTTAATGTTCAACATAAATGGCTTTGGATGATCTTAGGATATAGAATAAATGGACATCAAACTAATAAATCTAATACTATTTAAATTCGATGTGACTCATCCAGTTTAGGAATTAGGATATATAAACACTGACTTCAAGCCGAAGTTCATAATCTTCAGAAGATTTAATCAAGACTTCTTTATTTTCACGTGATATTGGAGTTCCACCAGAAGTTTGATCTTCACAACAAACTGATCCTTACTTAAATTCGGTTTTGAAGTTGAAGTTTTCTCCNTCTTGGCCGAAATAAGTTTAATGTTCAACATAAATGGCTTTGGATGATCTTAGGATATAGAATAAATGGACATCAAACTAATAAATCTAATACTAATTAAATTCGATGTGACTCATCCAGTTTAAAAATTAGGATATATAACTACTGACGTCAAGCTGAAGTTCATAATCTTCAGAAGATTTAATCAAGACTTCTTTTTGGTTTTCTTCAATTTGTAGGGACGAGTTCCTGATTATCCGAATCCCATTTGTCTAACAGATCCCCACACACTGACTGTTTGTAGAAAAAGAAAATTGCAACTTTGATTGTGACAGAGGAAATGAATCGATGCAAACCAATAAGAAGAAGATTCATTAGTTCATTAATTAATGAAATAGTATATCGCTATGGTTCTGGAAAATCTGAAAGGAAAATGAAAAGGCAAATTTGGAGAAAAAGGAATTATATATGAAAGTTGATGAAAGGCTTCATGGCTGCATATATATATGTATATATCGTTGGGCAAAAGCTCACCAATTAAGAACAAATACTATAATTGAATTAAGCAAATATAAGAGGGAAAAAAGAACAAAAAGAATTTGATTGTTGAGCTGTGTAGATTAATCTACTGAAAAGCTGCAGAGTTAAAGAAACTTCAAAATCTTTTACAGCAAGGTCTAATTAAATATTGAAAAAATGGCTCTTTAAATACTGATTTTAACAGAAGTTCATTAGTTTGTCCTTGACACCTATTGAAACTTGTCTTCCCCTTGGTTTTGTTCCTCCGTTTCTGAATCTTGGACTTTGATTGTTGCAATACAAAGAGAGGAAATCACTTACATGGAGCAAACAGTCAGCAATGAAATAAAGTCCAGTGGTGAAGCTGAACCCAGTAGCAGCAGTCATGGCCCTCCGAGGAGAGAAGGTAAGTTAAATACATACATACACACGCGTGAGCACACACGTATATATATGCACACACACAGAGGATCAAGGATTGACCAAGTAAGTGTATAATACGGTTGAGCACACGAACGCACGCGCGCGCTCGCACGCGTACACACACATATATATATATATATATGACTTAGGGGTCTGGACAATCTTCCGCGTATCTCAATCAATCTTTCGAACCCTTGGAACTGTCAACTAAGCATACACACACACACATATATATGGGGGTCTGGGTCAGCTTACGCGTATCTCAATTATTCTCCCGGGGCCTTAAAACTGCTAGCAGAGTAGGAGTCTCAATGACCACCCCTATTATTGCTTTCTAATTAAAATATTGAGATTACTATGTATACACTCGGCTCTTTTTCGCAACATTTAACAATATATCAACAACAAAACAATCCCAAAAGTAACAATATATATATATATATATATATATAGAGAGAGAGAGAGAGAGAGAGAGAGGGCTCATGGAATTGTTATGTTAACGTATCTTCTCCTTTTATTTTATTTGCTAGCTTATTATGCTGTCCAGTTTGTGGGGACATATTCATAGTTACCTGAATTCCTAACGTAATTTTTAGTTTAAAAGAGAATTGAAACTTTGATTGTTAACTAAGAAATGAATAGATGCATTAAAAATTTTCATATCAATTGATGGAAATTGTACTTGAAAAGATACAAAAGGGAAGAGAACAATCTAGAAGGAAAGTGCAGAAAAACAGAGCAAGAAAAGTGAGAACTCTGAAATGAGATTCTGTTGAATTTTTACTAACTGACTGAACTAACTCTTTAACAAGAAGAAGGCTGAATTTATATAGACAGCCATCAGTAAAACGCAGCGTTTTATAACATTCTTATTAAAGAAACGCTGCGTATTAGTCATGCTTAAAGATATTACAAAAACCAAATAAAACTAGGCTTCTCCTTGATCTGCATAAGCCGAGACTAAACCACCAAGTTCTACAGTCTTCTTCTTCTTCTTTTATCAACAGTACTGAGCTTGCATGTTAAAAAAAAAAAAAAAATGGAGGGATATTTTGTTGAGATGATCAAATGGAAAAGATGGTACAAATTATTGAAAGCTTAACAAACAGATGCAAATGGCATCTCCTATGTTTAAATTACAGCTTGAATTGTTATCTCATAAATAATTTTATTGGTTAATTAAGTCATACATATTTTCAAACTGTGAACATCAATTTATTTGGTAAGAAATATTTCTTCCATATATGAAATTCTACAAACCGTAAAAGAGAAGTACAAAGAAGGGCAAAGCAAAGCCATAGAGATAGAATTCAACATAAAGTGACACGTGATGGATGCATTTAAATAAGATAAAAAAAAAGAAAGAAATTAACTTACAAGGTTTTCACTCAAAGAACAATAAAAAAATTCCAAAAGTTTTATGTCGGGGGAAGTAAGGTATTGCCTTCCCACAACTGAAATTAATTATTCCACTTCTTCTGTACGAATTGGATGAGGTATTGCCTTATATATAATTGAAAACTGGTGCCATGTTTCTCTAAAATTTTTCACTGATCAGCGATCACTTGACCAGCAAAAGTTAAGACAAATTGACAGACATGGCAGTTAGTATTCCTATTAATTCAGAAGGTAATTTTATTAATTGGTTTTACTCATTCTATACTTTACTGATGATTTAATGTCTAATATAGCTAACACTTTGTGTGTTAAAACAAAATGACAGACGTGGAACGTACTAGGAATTCTGAAGGTAATTTTATTAATTGGTTTTTTCTAATTCTATAGTTTACTAATGATTTAATGTCTAATATAGCTAGCACTTTATATTACGTACTTTCTCAATATATACAGAATTTCTGAAGAGCTATAGAGCGGCTACAGAATTGGATGTGGAGAAGCTTGATCATTACTGGCTTCTACGCAGAGCTATACAACAGAATAATTGGAAAGCTGTGGGAGAATTCATTAGTTATAATCAGCCGCAGGTGTTCACGGACAAGATTTCAGAATTGTACGAAACCCTTTTCCACTTAATTGTAAAATCAGATAATGACGCCGCAATTTCATTGCTGCGAGAGAATGTACCGAAGTTTGCAGGATCTGTATTGGCAGAAGATGCTGCTGGCTGGACGGCTTTATCAAGCGCAGCATTCCTTGGCAATAAAAAAGCTGTAAAAACCATTGTGAATTCTTGCAGTGATTTACCAGACGTACCTTCAAGTTCGAAAAATCTCCTTCCAATTCATTTTGCAGCATCTTCTGGACACAAGGAAATAGTTCAATTTCTACTTCCACGGACTAGATTACAAATAGATGAAACACGGAGCAAACTGGTTCTACGTCTGATCGATTCTAATCTATGTGGTTAGTGCAATATAACCTTAAATTTGCGGGATCTCTTTTTTCACTTAGAATTGTTTAATTTATTAATTATATGGTATAGTCGTATAGATTATTAGGAAATAATAAATCATATGATATATTATATTTATGATTATAATATGTTATATGATTCTTCAGTATTTTCCCCATGATTCTAATATATTATGATTCTATAATATATATTATATTATTATGTGTATATTTAGGATTCTGATTACCTTATTTGTGTACTTAGGTTTACCTATAAATTGTCACATTTGATTGTAAATTTTCATCAATTCAATATACACATTTTCTCTAATATTCTTTCATAGATGACCCTTTTGGCTTCTATACATTGTTGTGCTCGATCGCTCTGATTTTAGTTTCTCTTCATGCACAGGTATAGCTCTTCGTTTATTGAAGAACCAACCGCGCGATTTGCATCCAAAGTACAGAGAGAAGATTCTAAGAAGGCTGGCTACAAAGCCTAACCGGTTTAAAAGTGGGAGTCGGCATGGATTTTTGCAAAGCTTAATCTATAATTGTTAGTATCAAATCATCCCTGCTATCTTTCACTTTGTTAAATCACATGCATAATGCACCCACATATCACATAATCTTCTCATGATAGTCCAGGTTTATTTAAAACAAAAAAAAAAAGTTTTTAATTGCTATGATCATATCATATTTTGGGAATTAAAATTAGCAAAGATTGTTATATATGGGAACTTTTCTTTCCGTACAACAGAAAGAAACTAATATCTAACAAACCATCCGTTGTGGCATGATGGAGTGAATGAATTGAGGAGTTAAAAGACTAAGGGCTGTTGGGTTCAAGTTGCAACAAGGGCAAGGGGTGGCCACCAATTACCAAACCCAAAAAAAAAAAAAAAAAAAAAAAAGAGCTAATTTCTAACATTTTTCATGAGTAAATGATTAAATATTTTAAATGATTTAAAAATATTAAATTTAACAATTTGATAAGATATTTGGGAAATAAAAAACCTGTCATACATATTACTCTTATGATAATTACTTTTCATAAACAACATTGAATTACAAGGGCTTAAGTGTTTCATTCTGAAACTACAAGGGTGTAAGTATTTCATTTTGAAACTCATGGATCTCCTTAGTGTCTCAACTCTTAAGCAATGTCCATGTAAAAACCTCCAAATTGAGAAGAAAATAAAGTATAATTAATTAAATGAAGAATTAAATAAGAATGCATGCCACCTCAAACTCCAAACCAAAATGATATAAATGATAGTGTCTTGCTTTGGAAGACCAACCCCCCATATCTTTTGTGGTGCTACTCAATTTCTGGGAAAAAAACAAATTAAAGGTGGCAAGATTATATACAGATATTGGCTCCCTGCGCACGGGCTGGCAATGCCATCATCCATTGTTTTAACTTTTTCTTCTTCAAATTGTTCTCTAAAACACTCACCAATTCATCATCTCTTTGCTTCGTTGTCCTTATTGGATGGAGTCTCAAAAGTTGAGTAGGTTCAATTGAGCTCACAATTGTGTATCGGCTACGTGCCTGATCACATGCCATCGATCCTTGAAATCTAAGGGTGGTTCAGATTAAAAGATTATGGATATTTCCATCCAAATACATAACCCATCTGTTATCTGGTAGTTTATTGCTGAAGAAATTACTTTTGAGTTTCAAAATTACACTAGTAGTGTTAAAGTCATAGGAAACCTTATCCTGAATTTCGACTTGTATCCAACATAAAGATGCCTAAATTTCTCACGTCTATGTATTTGCAGGGATTCCAGTGAAAGATGATAATATGCCTTCCCCTCAGGCCGGAACCGATTTCCAAAACCCTGGAAGTGTAGATGGAGACATGGAAAACCCCAAACAGTTATCTGCAAGTACGTTTAATAGTAAATCTCTCTAATAGTTTTTCATTTCAAAATTTCCTGTATATAGACCACGATACTTGACCTTGTAAAGTCAACACTCAAAGCTATTTGTCTATATATCAGGTGGAATGCGCCAAAAATTGAACTCTATGTTCTGGAATGTCCTCATGCAGCTAGGTAAGGATTTTAATAGTTGTGTGAATTCATTTGACCAGGTTCTTTAAATAAAATAAATCTTCATTTATAAACTTGAGTTCAATACATATATACAGCCCCATGCATCAAACGCATACACGATGAAAAGTTAATTCACATGCAAGCGCTTGAAATTGTAAGAATAATGTGTGGGGAAGTTCTTTTGTACTTCGAAAAAGCTTCAGAGACAATAAAGCGACCACTCCTCACAGCTACAAGATTTGGGATTTTTGAGATTGTCGATGAAATTTTGAAGGTGTATGAAAATGCTTTTTGTTTCGTTGACGAAGCTGGAACAAATGTGTTGCAGCTTGCAGTTTTGCATCGTCATGAAATATTTTTCCGTATCATATTAAAGTATTCTGGGAAAAGTTGGACAGAGTACACAGATAATGATTGTAACAACATCTTGCACTTAGCCGGAAAGTCTGCACCTTCAAGTAAAATAGCAGGTTCAGCATTGCAAATGCAGCGGGAGGTGCAATGGTTCAAGGTGATTTATATACATTTGAGTAGTCTTTTAAGAACTAATTAATTAATTTATGTCGTGCCAATCTTCTTGATACTATTTTACAAAAGTGTTTTGTGCTTAATAAATTTGAAAAATGTGAAAGAAGAAGAAGAAAAGTATACATTTGATATTGTGTAACATTTATGATTTTATTCAAAACATAAACTAATTTTACTCTTCAAAAGATTTATTATATTCACATAAAGCTTTTTCTGTATTATATTTCCTTGAAAACTTTTAACATAATATTCTATATATGTGAAATACTAAACGCGACATTAATTTATTAGATTCAGATTTCTCACTATCCATATATGTCTAATATTATATGTAAACCTTTTCATCAGGCTGTGGAAAATCTTGTACGTCCATCCTTACATGAGAAGCGGAATGAGGAAGGAAAAACTCCTATAGAAGTGTTTGAGGAAGAACATAAGATATTAGTTAATGAAGGTGAAAAATGGATGAAGGGGAGTGCTAAATCATGCACGGTTGTTGCTGCACTCATAATCACCATGGTATTTGCCGCCGCTTTCACTATACCAGGAGGCAACAACACTGAAGGACCGGCTTTTATTATTTTCGCCATATCAGATGCGCTTGCATTCGTTTCTTCCATTGCTTCATTGTTAATGTTCTTGGGAATCCTCACTACGCGCTATTTGCCAGAAGATTTTTTGAAGTCCTTGCCCGAGAAGTTAATTATCGGCCAAATCAGCTTGTTAATTTCTATTGCAAGCATGATGGTAGCCTATGGTGCAACGTTCTACATCAATTGCACTCATCAATGGAAGTGGACTATCTTCCCAATTTCCCTTCTTACTAGTCTCCCAGTGACCTTATTTGCAATGGTGCAGTTTCCTCTCTTGTTTGAAATGATCTCTTCCACTTATGGACCTAGTATTTTTCCATCAAAGGAAGGAATAGGGAAGTAATTCTCTCTCTCTCTCTCTCTCTCTATGATGGTCAGGAGATTTCACCAGGATTCAATATGTATTGGGTATATAAACCAGAACTGTAGTCTTGAATACTTAATGAAAAACTTGTTTTCTTTGTTGTAGTTTCCTCTATGGTTGAAATTTGGATAAGACCAAGCAGTTAAGTTCATATTGACATCTTTTACTTTGCTAACATCTGGTTTTTTGAGCTGTCCAACTTGTATTTTAGAGAACTGGCAATCTGATGATTGTTGCAATAATAAGATGATTTGTACATGATTAACAGATAATGGAAATATAGATTAAAAAAAAACAGAGCTAATCATGGTTTTGTAACTCCCCTTAGTCTTTTCCATTTCTTATCTTTGTCTTCAGTAGCTAAATATGGTTTTGTAACAGCAGATGAAATATTATGCAGAAATGTTTTGTAATTTGCATATAAACTGATACTACAGAGCCAAAAAAACAGAGTTTGTGTGATTCTGTCTGCAGGTTTTTCATTCTGGATTTTCTGGAATTACTTAGACTGTATCGTCAAATTGTTTTAATCAAAGCAAAGAGAACTCTAAATATCCAAAAATACGAAACGTCAAATGTTATGGAATTAACCACAGGGAAAATACCAAAAGACTTCTTACAGACAAGTGAAGTTCCGATTTTGCATAATTTAGATACTTCAGAAGTCCACTAATTTCTAGTATAGAAATTTTTTATAGGGGAGGGCTAGCGGCTAGCCGGTTAAGCCCTTTGAAGAAAGAATGTAATCAATATCTAATTCTTATAACAAAGATAATTAAATTGGCAGAAAACATAAATATTTAGCCAGTCTTTATTTTTGTTTTTGTTTTTTATGTAATCTCTTTATAAATGAATTGTTTTTTTATTTTTTTTTTTTATGTTGTCCATTTGTGGAAATGTCCTTGTTATCTGAATTCCCAACACTTTCTAGTTTTAAAGAAGAGAATTTCAACTTGATTGCTAGTTAAAAAATGAACCAATGCCAAAACAAAAAATTGGTACATAATATTCTGTTTGCAAACGGAAAAAATGGTACAAATCATGAAAGCTTAACCCACAATGCAATTGGCATCACATTTTATCCTATCTAAAGCATTACAGCTTAAAGATATTACATATTTTCGAACACTAGACATTGATTTGTAAAAGCAAAAGAAAGCCGTAGAGATAAAGAACAAAGTAAAATCAAAGAACAATATCATAAAAGTGAAAAGAACATCCCTTGTTTTCACTCAAAGAACATAAAAAATTCCAAAAGTTTCATTTCGAGGGGAACTGGGGAAGGTATTGCTTTGCAACAACTCAAATTATTGATCGCATTTCTTAATTAATGCCGGGGGAGGCCTCAATAAATACAGATTATAACATATGTATGTTTATTAATTTCTCCTTAAAGATCGACTCTAAAATTGTTTTTCCTCTCATATTTCTTTCGTTGGTTTCAATCTTGGAAATTGTCACTATATTTCAACATTTGGGAGGATACAAAGAGAGGGAAGAAAAAATAAATTGCATGGAGCAAAAGGTCAGTGATAAAGGTGAAGTGCTGGAGCCTGTTCAACGTAACAGCTTTATCAGAAATGAAGAGTCCAGTAGTAGGAGTCACGACCCTCCAAAGATAGAAAGTAAGTTAAATTCTGATGTATCATTTAATTCTTAACAGTATTGTGTCTCACAAACTTTCTCGTGTGTAATTTCTTCTTAGACCCAAACATTCTTAAATTATTGGATATGGGCATATTTTAGAATGAACAGGTTAATTAAAACAAAGAACCCATCGCTAATAGTATTTATGTCTAATTTACTTTGTCATATGTTGATGTGGGCATATTAATGCAATTATTGAGGTCATGTTCAGTACTGAAATTAGCAAGGCTGTACAACAAAATGTGGAAGGGTGTAGAAGATTTTATAACCCAAAATCCCAATGCCTTGACGCCATTATTAGATTTATACACCGTATATCTTTTTTCACATAATAACTCGAAAGTTAGTTACTCCCTTGGTTATCGAGAAGCTCGTATCGATGGTGAGACCGGCGTTGAACTGCTTAAATCTTTTATCAGTTCTGGTCCTATAGTAAGTGTCATTGCCAAATATCCGTATTAGTTAAGATAACATTCAATTGTCAACGTAAACTGAAAGCATTTGTCAATAATTATGTTACCTCAACTCCATTTCAGGTTCAGCTTTTGATTATTGAAGAAATATCAAACTTAGTAACTGAAACTGAGGACAGAGGAAGTAACTAGAAGAGCTAGCTTATAAGCCACTGGCATTGAAAGTGGGAGTCGGTTTGGATATTGACTACGTTTAATCTATCATTGTATATAGCTACTCTGTAGCTACTTTCTATGGAATTATCACTAGACAGTATGTCAAAATTAACAGCGCTTGCATTGTTTTTGCAGGGATTCCTGTGCAGGAAGAACATATTCATTATCCTAAAACTGCGCTTGGAGAACAAAGAGTCGAATTGAGACTTTAAAGAAGTTCAAAAATTCACTTATGTTGGATCTATAGTCGACAAATCTCTACTATATCTGGTTTCTGGATCACCTCCATATCTAAATTTTTAATGATCCTCTTTTAAATTCTATTACTTATATACTAATTAAAGATGCTATTTAATTTGTTTTATATCATAGCTGCCTTGCCAAAGTTTCAAATTATGCTGTGAATGCCCTCATAATCTAGGTATTGAAATATTCTAATTAGAATGAGTACTTTAAAGACAATATTTTTCTGCTGACTTGAGTTGAATTACAGTTCGGGCATCAAATACATAAGTGATATAAAGTTGTGCACCTTCAAACCCTTGAAATAGTTAGAATGTGTGCCATGAGGGAGTTATATGGATTAAGCGTGAAGCCTCGAAGCCATTGGCTACTCCAATTTTAACAGCCACAAGATTCGGGATTCGCGAGATTGTACGGTGAATTTCAATGCCTATTTCTATTCTTATACTTTTTGTGAAGATGACAACATATATATTTCACTCGCAATATCCCCAGACAAAGTTTTTAGTCTCATAAATGAAATGGACTATTTATATAGGAGTGGAAAGCAGCAATCGAGAATGAAAAAACTGACAACATGTTGCATTTAACTGGAAGGTTGGTACCTTCAAGTCGAGTCTCTGGGGCACACTACAGATGCGAGAGAGTTACAATGGCTTAAGGTGTATATATCTTGGTATAGCTAGCATCTAACCATGCAATATAATAGAGTTTGATATACTTTTTTTTAATAATATATCTTTAATATAGAATGTCAAAACGACTATTCTTGGAATTTCTTGATCACTATAGCCCTTTTGATTGTCACGAAGGTTGTCAACCACAAAATGTTCTACTTTCATTTTCTACGGAAATAAATAATTACATGTAGCTTCTATAGGCTTATAAATTTGTAAATTGTCTTCAAATAAACAGAAGTTTCAGAAAAGATTGCGGTCTGTAGGGTTTATAAGAAATTTAAAGTTTCTGTTTTTGAATAATTAATATGTTATTTCATTCAGGCTGTGGAAAGTTATGTCCATTATCCTTTCAAGATCAAAAAATCATTCAATAAAACTCCTAGAGAAGTGTTTACGGAAGAACACAAGGATTTAGTTAAAGAAGGTGAAAAATGGTGAGGGTACTGATTCATCATGCACTCTTGTAGCAGCACTAATAAACACAGTAGTGTTTGCAGCAGCTTTTCCTGTACCAGGGCAACAATAATGACGGCATACCCAATTTCATGAACGAAATACCTTTCTAGTCTTTGCTATATCAGATGCCCTTGCATTCATTTCTCTACCGCTTCAGTGCTAATGTTCTTGGGAATCCTCACTTGACATTACTCAGAAGAGGATTTTTGGAGTGTTGCCAAAGAAGTTAATGGTGGCCTTATGACCTTGTTCTTTTCAATTGCAAGCATGTGGTAGCGTTTGGTGCAACATATTACATCGTTCTTTCAACCCATGGAAATTGGTTATCATTCCAATTGCCTCACTTGGTTGTCTTCCAGTCCTGTTATTTGCATGGATGCAGTTTCCTCTCTTGGTCGATATATTTATACCACTTATAGGCCTACTATTCGCTTTAACCGCAATTAAGCAACTGAGGATGTATGACCATGTAATTATATCTTCAGGAGCTAAACAAGGTCTTTCTTGTTTAACTATATAGTCATTATCAGTTTCAATTTCTTCTTATATTTATTGTAAAAACACATTAATTTTGATAGATATTATAAACTTGATAGAAACGTTGAACTGAAAGCAGAACAAAACCAGAGCACCACATTACAACCAAACAGAGCAGCCTAGTCCTTTAGCATGAATTTAAATTTAGCGGTTTAAAATTATACCTCATCTGTGCATAACGCAGTATGGTTTCAAATTTCATTCATTTTAAGCACTTACTTGACTTTATCTTTAAAAATTAATATAAACAAAAACCAAAAATCGTTGGAAGTTCTTTTAGCTCAAGACTAATAGGAGGAATTGAGAAGAAAAGTGTTTTGAAGACAAGATTACTATTGCTCTCAAATTTGACTTATACAAAATGGTTGGGGTCACCCCTTTTTAAGTGTCAAGGGCCTGTTAGTGAATTCGTTCGCTATCATTTGCAAATTTCCGTATGTTATAAACACATCCATATTATTCACGAACTATATGTCTCAGAATTTTATTAATATTATCCCGTGTCAAAATTGTGCCCAACTTTTACCAACGTATTTTTCACCATTTGCTATATCATATCCGTAAAATTCTCATACTTTTTTTTTATCATACCTGTATTTACCTTTGCATTTGAAATGTTATATTGATTTTAACTATGTGGTCATGAAAAGTGTTAAAACCAAGATTGATATTGTTATATTTTTTAAAACGTGTTATAACAATATGCCGTATTAAACCCGTATTGTATTTTTCTGTATCTGAATTTATGAACGATTTTTTACAAATTTATTTTTTACTACATATCATA